GATGACAAATTTGACAATCTACGATTTCCATCCCTTGGATAAAATCGTAATGCGCCCCGGAATCTCAGAAAATAATAAATATGTTTACCTTCCAATCTATTTCACAGCCAGAGCAACTGAAATAATCAATAATCAAAAACTTGAAACATGTATATTGTAGTTAACCACTCAACAGTTAAAACTGGGAATGGAGGCGTCTTAATTTATCTTTTAATCAAAACAAAAATGAATGATGCAATTCCCTGATATATTTCTTACAATGTTCAGAGGTCTTTAACCTTTAACGCTTGATCTAGATATCCCAATGTTGCCACTTCTAAATTGCAGGCTCAAGATGGAAAACCCCAGATTCACAATATGTAAGTGTCCATTCCAGTTAATAAAAAAAACTTTCTTAATAAGGAGACATTTAAATAGAACTTAATTCCACTTATTACTAGCTAAGACAGTTTTGAAAAAATATGCCAAAGGAATTGAGTCTTTGCCTCAAACTGATTTTCTAATCCGAATATCTTTGAAACCTAATGTCTTAGACCTTGGATATTTCACATTATAAATTCTGATATACAAAACATTCTTAGTTTGAATGTCAAAAGTTTACATCACCGATTTTCAAAGATATAGGGCTTAGAAAATTAGAGTTTGTGGCAAAGAATCATTTCTTTTAATTTTAACTAGGTAATAGTATAATGATAAATGCCTGATAATCTCTGGACCATCGTAATCTAGGGGGGATTCAGGATCAGGACCTTCCCTCAGCTTATACTCCTTGGTCAGAACACTGTTGGAGAAGTAGGGGTTCTCAGAGAACACAAAACTAAACAGAATCGTAAAACGGGTAGGGTGAGTTTGACCAATTTGAATACTTTTGGGAATCCAGTCTTCATTTTTTAAAGATTCTGAATATTTTAGGCAACATGTTTAACAGGTCACAAAATTACTTAGCTTTTTCGAAATTGGGCGTTAAATCAAGCTTAGAAAGTTACAAGGTCACGAAGTCGTAAGAAAATTGTCACCTTAATATAAACTTTAAATAGAGTGAAATAACTTACTTAAGAGTAAATCCCGAATTCCCAGGTTCTTTAAGAGTAACAGTCAGATCCTAATTAGCGGCAAAGTTCAATACACCACGTTATTGTGTGGGGGGGGGGGGCAATTGACCGTAATACCCCCCCCCCCCCATTCCTCAAAAATAAATAATTTTCCAAAATGCAGCATGGCTTAAGGAAAACAATTTATTACGTGGATAAATATGACTAAAATGGAATCATTAAAAGATTATTTAGATTTCCATCTTTGCTTATTTTGTCCCATTGTCCCAATTGATCTTTTCGACTTCTAACCGGCACATTTTTTATAACTTCAAGAACTTAAAATTAAGAAGAAATTTTTTTTAACTGTCTACGATGGGAGAGGGAACCCACGGACGCCATGAGCCTCCGCTTTGCAGGCAAAAGCCTTCCAGATTTGAGCCTCCACTATGCAGTAAACGAGCCTCCACAACACAGCACAACTTTTTTTAAATCTTGGTTTTTGAGTAATAAAAATTTTAACAATTTTTTTCACGTAGTGGCATGATAATTTTACTAAAGATTAGAGTTATTGGGAACATATATGGACTCATAAAGTGGTTTATAAGATTTATATTAAAACTTTAAACATTTCTTACGCAGAAAGGAAGATATTTGGAGAAATATTTCTGCAGTTTTGTTGTAATCTTTGATTTAAACAATACCTTTTTTGAAAAATGTTAAGAATTAAAAAAAGTTATCCAAATTTTCTAGATTTATTTTAACTACAAATAGAGGTCTCGCAATTACATCCAAGAAAAATAGATGAAATGAAATTCAAACTTTTGCCTTTTCGTTAAAAACTGTTTTAAGTTTCAACCACCTTTTTTATTAGTCATAATTAGGCACAATTTATGATAATTGATAAATACTTCTGATCTTTGAGAAACATCTTATGCCACTTCGTCGAAAATTTGCAAAAATCCTTTATTTAAACTTAAACACAAGTTCAAAAAAAACTTCTGTATTTCACAGGCACATGTTGATGTATTGCGCATGCTAATTACTGCATAGCAGAGGCTCGGTCTGCCAAGCATATCTGGGAAGCTCGTGTCTGCATAGCAGAGGCTTATGGCGTCTGGGGGTTCCCTTCCTCCTACAATTGGCACGCTTAAAACGTAACTTATATTTGAGAAATAAATGTAAAATGAAAAAAGCTTAAGCCTTCCTTAAGATACTCCAGGACTGGTTCGTCGTGAGGCTCCACCATCCCCATCAAGGCATCCTCGTTGGCGTTCTTCATGGCGTACATCCAGAACTAAACAATTCCAGTTTTTACCTTTCAAATCTCAAAACTAAGAGAGAATGGATCAGAAACATCATATTTAAACAGAAAAAAAGCCGTTACGAGCCCAACATCAAGATTGCAGAATGAAGCGTGGTTCAAAACTTAGTCGTTATAACGGAAACAGATTTTTATGCTAATATTTACTACCGAGTTTTACATGTAACCTGTTAATAAATGTACATAATGTTCCACAAATGAACTAAGATAATTTGGTTAAAGTATATTGTGGAAGAGGTTTAACTATACTGTGGAAGAGTTAAAGTATACTGTAGAAGAGTTAAAAGTATACTGTGGAAGAATTAAAAAATATATTGTGGAAGAGTTAAAAAATACATTGATGAAAAGTTAAAAAGTACATTGATGAAAAGTTAAAATGTACATTAAAAGTATATTGTGGAAGAGTTAAAGTATATTGTGGAAGAGCTAAAAGTAAACTGTGGAAGAGTTAAAGTATACTGTGGAAGAGTTAAAGTATACTGTAGAAGAGCTAAAAGTATACTGTAGATGAGTTAAAAGTATACTGTGGAAGAATTAAAAAGTTGTGGAAGAGTTAAAAGTATATCGTGGAAGGGTAAAAAATATATTGTGGAAGAGTTAAAAGAATAATGTGGAAAAGTTAAAGTATACTGTGGAAGAGCTAAAAGTATACTGTAGAAGAGCTAAAATTATACTGTAGAAGAGTTAAAAGTATACTGTGGAAGAATTAAAAAGTATATCGTGGAAGAGTAAAAAGTATGTTGTGGTTGAGTTGAAAGTATATTGTGGAAGAGCTAAAAGTATACTGTGGAAGAATTAAAATGTATATTGTGGAAGAGTTAAAAGTATATCGTGGAAGAGTAAAAAGTATGTTGTGGTTGAGTTAAAAGTATATTGTGGTAGAGTTAGAAGTATATTGTGTAAGAGTTGAAAGAATACTGTGAAAGGAGTAAAAAGTATATTGTGGAAGAGTTACCTTAGGAATTCCTTTGGTGTTCTCATCCATTCCATTTATGCTGATTTGTTTAACACCATTGGTCAATTTTTCCTCATCGTCTTCCTCTTCATCTTCCCACTCAATCTTAACAAGATCATCATACAACTTTACCATTAAATGAAATATCAGTATGTATCAACGTAACTAATGCATAATAAATGTATCTTCAGTATGAAAAACGTTTCTACCGTATAATAAACGTATATTTAATATGATCAACATATCTTCAGTATAATACGTATATTTAATATGAGTAATGTATCTCCTGTGTGATCAACGTTTCCTCACTAAAATACGTATACTTAATATGATCAACGTATCTCCTGTGTGATCAACGTTTCTTCAGTATAATAAACGTATTATTTAATATGATCAACGTATCTCCTGTGTGATCAACGTATCTTCAGTAAAATCAACGTTTCTTTATTATGATCAACGTATCTTCAGTAAAATCAACGTATCTTCGTATCTTCAGTATGATCAACATATTTTTAGTATGGTCAACATGGCTTCATTATGATAAACATGTCTTCAGAATGATCAACATATCTATATGAATAATGTATCTACTCTATGATCAACATATCTACTCTATGATAAATGTATCTTCTCTATGATCAACGTATCTATAGTATAATAAACGTATTTTCAGTATGACAGACGTGTTGCTAGAATAATCAATGTATCTACTCTATGATAAATGTATCTACTGTATGATCAATATAACATTATAATGGTCAATGTGTCTACAGAATAATATGATTAACGTAAATTAAGTATAATCAACGTAAACTAAGTATGACCGACTTGAATTAAGTAAGATAAAAGTAAATAAAGTTTGATGAACATAAACTAAGTATGATAAAGTATGATAAACGTAAGCTTAGTATGATAAAGTATGATCAACGTAAACTAAGTATGATCAACATAAACTAAGTATGATCAACGTAAACTAAGTATGATCAACATAAACTAAGTATGATCAACGTAAACTAAGTATGATAATCGTAAACTAAGTATGATTAAGTATGATCAACGTAAACTAAGTACAATCAACGTAAACTAAGTATGATCAACGTAAACTAAGTATATCAACGTAAACTAAGTATGATAATCGTAAACTAAGTATGATTAAGTATGATCAACGTAAACTAAGTATGATCATCGTAAACTAAGTATGATCAACATAAACTAAGTATGATCAACGTGAAGTATGATCAACATAAATAAGTATGATGAACGTAAATTAAGTATTATCAACGTAAACTAATTATGATAGACTTAAATCAAGTTTGATCAAAGTAAATTAAGTATGATAGACTTAAATTAAGTATAATTAATAGAACTAAGGTCCAATCACAGTATCCATGAAATTTATAAAACAAATTTCTAACGTATGTTCAAATTTAATGCATAAAAAATCATATCAAGTATGGTTGACACATTTTCTCAAGTATGGTTAACACATTTAAGTATCAACGTAACTAATTAATGATAATCATATCCTAAGAATGATCATTAATAATTGATCAACAAATCTAAATATGATCAACATAAAATTTCAACGTATCTGGAGTGTAAAATCACCTCTGGACCGGAAGGCTCATATTCTCCTGCTAATATGCTTGCTCGTTTCTTGTTTATTTCATCATAAACCTTCTGGTACTTTAGATCTAGCTGATGAACCTCTCTGTAATAATCACTCTCTGCCTGCAACAAGAAGACAAATTTTCTCCAGGGGTAACTTAAAACTATCAAGAATCCCCACCCCCCCC